CACATGAACTACACCTCTAAGTGTTTCTTTATTTGTAAGGGTAAGAGAGACAAAGTTGACCTCATAGGATTCTTATGAGGATTAAATGAGATAATATAAACACAATGCTTATGCCTGGCACATACTGTTAATAACAGGCCAACACCTTGGGAGGGGAAAAGCCCTATAGACTAGGACAGATGAAGCAGAATCTACAGGATTCAGTGGCCAGGTGGGCAGGTGAGGGTCAGGGGTAACCAGGTGGCTCCCAGGGGTCTGGCTTCAGTGAATAGGGACAGAGCATGTCAGAGGATGAGAGGAAGGATGACCAGAGGTGCTGGGGAGAGTTGGGATGATGCAGATGAATCGGTTTTGCATCAGGCGTGCAGGGCTTACGAGTCTTCCGAGCGGAAATGCTCTCTAGGCATCTGACACTAAGACCGACGCCAGGTGAGAAGTCTGCCCAGGCAATATGAGTTTCAGAGTCACTGCCTCTTAGGTGGCATTTGACCTTTGAAGACAGAAGAGTTGCCCCAGAGAGATAATAGAGACTCTTAACCAAGGATCTTCAAACCCCCAGGCATCTGTGAATGAATGGGCTTTAGGGAGTCTGTGAACATTGGAAGATTATACGCAAAATGTTGTCCGTGCATGGTCCTGGGTCCAAGCTTTCGGTAAGTTTTCAAAGGAGCCTATGGGCTCCCTCCGGCCCAACCCCATCTCAAAGTTACAGACCACCAGTGTAGAGTGAGGTACCCCCCAGGGAACACATATTCAGGGGGCCAGGCAGAGATGAAATAGAAACAGGGAGAAAGAAGAGACCCGTGAAATGAGTAGAGTCTCTGAGCAGCAACTCTTACTAGGGTCAGATGTGGCTGAGGAATCAACTAAAAAAGAACCGAATGCAGCAGTGGAGGTCACTGCCTGTCCTACTGTGTGCAGGGGGTTCACGAGGGGAGGGAGGGAGAAAGCAGACACCGCCAGTGCCACATACCAATAGCTTTATCGTTATTTCATGGAAAGAGAAGGCCTCCCATAAAAGAACTTGCCCACTCGGTAACCATGAGAGTCTAGCAAGTGACGTTTTGCAAATCTGTTTCGAGGGCAAAGGAGCCCTGCCGCACCAGGCACAGCGACCGGATCCCAGGTTTTCACCAACTTGAGAGAGACTCCATGAAACAGGTTCTGGGAAACCCTCTGCTAAGTGAGGGTATCTTCTGTTTGTGTTACCAAGTAAAAAAGTGATACAGGAAAAGAGCTCCGTGGCAAATCCCCAACGCAAGCATACGTTTCAGATGTGTGCAAGGCACCTTCGAACAATAGTAACTGTCATTAAGCTCTAGTTCAGCTCAACATGTAGCACATTTGTCAACAGTGCCAGCTTTGGGAGGACCAGACTCAGGGTCTGTCTTTTTTTTTTTTTGGTGCCATGCTTTTATTCAAATGAAAGGGGAAAAACTACACTGTACCAGGAAATAGTAAATATGACAGTATTTTACAGCACAGCATCTTAAAAAAAACTGTAAGCAATGCTCTGGAGTGGACAGGTAAGCACACCACACACTGTACATTGCTCCGCAGCGTCCATGAAACCATAATTAAATAGCTGAGTTTGACTTTAACAGCCAAATAAAAACTGTAACCATCATTCTAATACAAACTTGAACAACTGAGAAGAATTAAAAGCTTTCCAAAGCTGTGTCAAATAGCAGAATCTGACAGGCTGCGCTGGCAATCCTGACAAGTATTTGGCAAATTTAATTGGATAATTATCATAATAATTTGACCTCTGATGATGAAAGCACCAGTGTGTTTCAGTAAGGTTGATGAAAATCCCCAGACTTTACGAAATGGCATGTTTTTCATTTGTATAATTCTAAAAACATAATTAAAAAAATGCACCATAATAAAAAATCTGCAGACTTAAATATATCCATATTCCTTCTGCATTAATAAAGTAAAATCTTATACCGAGAGCAATGAACTTTGCGGCAATATGCACATTCTACCTTCAGACATTACAGACGTTTGATTCAGCTGCTGGACACATGCAAATTTAAGATTAAGGATGGCCCTGTTTAGTTTTAAACAGTTCCTCCATTCTCTTCCATCCAATTTTTCTTTAATAGCCAAATAATATCACAAAGACTGATAAGGGAAATTTAACTGAAAAATTAAAGGGTCTGTGCCAGCTCTGTCATGGACTAGCTGTTGCCCTGGGAAGTTAATTCACGTCCTGAGCTTTACTTTCCCCTCATCTGTAAAATGTGAATAGCAATTCACGTTTCAGGCTCAGTTGCGATTACTTATTAAGATAATATATTTAAGTGCTTAACTCAGGGTCTGACACGTAGTCAGCTTAATAGATGCCGGCTGGTGCTACTGTTTCTAGTCTGGAGCAGCAGCGCTGTGCAAATGTGGGCCACATCCGTAATGACAACTTTTCTAGTAGCCACATTTAAAACATTAAAAGAAACAGGTGCAATTTTAATAATATAGTTTACCCAAGCTCTCCAAAATATTACTATTTCAATATATAATGAATATGCAATTATTAATGTGGTGTTTTATTTTCCTTCTATCAAGTCTTTGAATTCTGGAATTTTACACTTAAAGCACCCCTCAATTGAGACAGGCCTCATCTCGTGCTCAGCAGCCACACGAGGCTAGTGGCTACGGTCCTGGACAACACAGCTCCAGACTTCTTTTTATTCCCTAGCAAGCACAGTAGTTCTTTAATTCTCCTCCTAAGAACCACAGTTTTCCCACTGCAGAAGTCAGAAAGGATCTTCTGATGCATTTCTGGGTTAAATCCATACTTCTGATTATTTTTTAGCCTCTCCTGCTTCATGCTTCCAATTACTAAAATGTAGATAGGACCCTGTGATACACAATACATAACCATTTTAGGGACGCTCACCACAGTGGCCTGTACATGTGGAGGAAAAAACAACCAGGTGACAATGATAGAACTTCTAAGTGATGAGCTACAAGATGGACAGCAATGGAGGTGGGTATATATTTAATGAAAGGACAACCCCCAAAGCCACAGTCTGGCTAAGAACTTCTAAGAAAAAGCAGCACTTAATCCAATGCCAGCAGGGAGGCAGCAGTGGGGGAAGCAGGGAACACAGGCGGCCCAAAAGGAGCCGACACACACAGTGAGGTCTCAGCCCATGAGGACCACGGGCTTAGTAGGTCTGCAGCACAGACAGCACCTCTGGGCAGCACCAACCATGACAGCGTTGCCTTGGACTGCCTGTGGCTTTATTGTCAAAGAGAGAGCGAGATGAAAGTCAGAGAAGTCACGTGTTTTTAGGGGAAGTGGGAGAAACCTCTTCCTTTTCTATAGCCAGAAGAGGAACTAATTTCATGCAATATGTATTTTTCCAAGTGTTAAATTTAAGGGGATAATAAACTTTTGACATGAAATATTGATAGAACTTTCGTGTGCATATTAACATACTTGTCTCATGCTCATTTAACTGATAAAATAATACAGGATTTCTGAGAGGTAGATTCAAAACTCTACAAAGGAAAAACTCAAGCAAAGGAACTGAAATTATCGTCATAAGTCATCACAAGGAAACCAATTCGGCAAACATGGGAAGCCCAAAGTCTAACAAGGTATCTGGGCCGTTGACTGCAAGGGCAAGAACCTTTCAGCTCAAACCACAATGCTTTATGTTCACATAAAGCATGGCACCCAGAAAAGGCCCAGTTATATCTGATAAACTCTGATTACAGAATGCAAGGAGATGCATAAACCAGCTCAGAAAGACAAAAGAGTTATGCTTCAGTTTGGACATGGTATTTGTTGAAGGAAAAACTCTATTTTGGATAGTGTAGAATAAGGCGAAATGCAACAGATCTGGGTATCTATTCGTGGTGTGACTTTGCATATATTACTTCTCTAAGTTTCTTCATCTATAAAAGAGGACAGTTAATACTGACCCTGCAGAAATTTTGTGTAGACATAACGTATGTAAAAGTACTTCACAAAGTGACTGAAACAGCAGGTATTTAATAGCTGTTACTGATAAGAATAATAAGTGAGGTACTTATATTCATTTCCTCATTATAAAGGCTTCATTGAAAAAAAAGTTTTAATAAAAGACAGAATAAGGTAAAGGTCATTAAACTCACTTCCTTTTTGAATCTGTACATATACCAAGCAAACGAGTGAGATTCATTTTCTCAACCTCTGAAACCATGATTTGATAAATTTATCCCTGGTTTAATGAAAAATGAGAAAAAATTGGTCTTGAATGCCTGTGTAATTGGCACTGAAAACATTGCTGTGTTTTAACAACTTGAGTATTCATCTGTGACAAATTTTGCATGAAGGGCAATGAGAGAGGCGGGGGGAGGTTAACGTGTGCTTTTCCATATCTGTGTGTGAATATGCTTTAAGTTTTAATGCACAAATAACTTCTCCCCTGTGGTCTCAAAAGAACCCTCTTAAACTTCCAGGAATTCCTTTGGTCACGAAATACATCTGGTTTAAAAAAAAAAAATAGTATGATGTTTTTCCTTATAGCAGTTCCTTACATTTTAAGAAGGAGCATTTCCCCCTCCCCCAAAAAAAAAGATAAATCAAAGAAAAGTCCCTTCAGGTCTATGAAATGCAAATACAATTGCTATAAGGATGCTGATATAGGAACTTTGTGTTCTAGTAGCAGAATACTAGGCATCTGTAACAGTAAGGGGAACAGAAACCTTCAATACCCCTCCAGTCAAACCCCATCAGTGACTTTCTACTTCAGCGTAAGGTCAGCCTGGTTTCAAGAAAGATCTGCTTACAGCTATGCAGCAACTCCATGGTGAATGCTGTGTTTGCGTGCGCGCGCGCGTGTGTGTGTGTGTGTGTGTGTAGACTTCAAGCTGGTAAATTGCACTATTAGAATGTCAGTAACACTTAGAACTCATCGCACCTGCTTTGCTTGTGACTGGCGTGAAATTGTCAAAGCAAGCTGGGAGCTATTCTACCCAGTTCACGGAAGCGACGTGGCTAAGTTTACCTTTCTTTGGTCTGGATTTCACTGGCAGGGACTCCTTTCTTTCCATTGCCGCTTCTCTTTCTTTCCATCGCCGGATCTGTTCCTCCCTCATCTTGAAGAACAGGATCTGTTTCTGTTCTTCGCTGAGCTCTGCCAGTAGATCAGGATCTACGTACATCTCGGCTAGTATCTGTTTCAGCATCTTTGCAGTTCTGGCGTCTTTTACACCTGTGGCAAAAGTTCCTGAAAATGGCCTGCAGCTGTGCCTCCACGTTGGCCAGCGCTGGAGTGTGCCCACAAACCTTCCCGAAGACTCACAATCCCGGCTGAGTGGGACGATGATTCAACAAACAGGCTTCTGAGACCTGGTACCAAATATCCCGTTCAAAATGCCGTTCAGCAAACCTGCAAAGAGTAACAGCCCCAAATTAGGCAATATTAAAATGTGTGGACACCGGCAAGGACAGGCTTATAAATAAAGGTGGGAGGAAACACAGTATCATTTTTCGTTTCAGGGGAAAATAAGAATCGCTGAGCACCCTCAGTTAAGAGTTTGTGTAACCTCTATTCCGCAACTTCCAAAGATACTGTATCAAAAAAACAAAACAAACCCCAACTTTGTACAGGTCAATCTCAGGGAAACAAAAAAATTAACAGAGGTTTGGCCTTCTCCCAACTAAGCAAACATTATTACCACAGAGCCTAACAAACTACCGACTGTAAGGCTTGAAAAAGAAAGAGGAAAAAAAAAAAAAAAAGGTCACAAGAAGTAATTAAAAGCCTCTCTCCAAACAACCTGTGGCAAAAGAAAATACCATTTTTGAGATTTCACAGTTACTCACCCTAAACCAAACCGAAACATGCTCAAGGAACAAAAAGAAATAAAAATGAGACTACAATGCAAATTTTGCATTTTCCCTTAAAAGCAGCACTAAACACAATTATGTACTTTCATCTTTACAAAAGGACAATGTAATTTCCAGACAACCTACTAGAGCCATGAAATTGGTTCAGGTGCAGAGGAGAACATTCATGTATATTCTGGAAGGTCACCAGGTTTTAGGTGTACCTTTTCCAGATAAGCTAATTTAAAAAAAAAAAAATCTAAATTTACAGACCAGATAAACTGGGGAATGAAGAGGTCACTAGGTTCCTAACAAAGGATCCTTGATTTATAAAAGTTTACTACAGGGATCCTTTAAAAAGAAGTCATGGGGCCGGGCGCGATGGCTCACACCTGTAATCCTAGCACTCTGGGAGGGCAAGGGAGGAGGATCGCTTGAGTCCGGGAGTTCAAGACCAGCCTGAGCAAGAGTGAGACCCTGTCTCTACTAAAAATAGAAAAAATTAGCTGGGCGTGGTGGTGTGCACCCGTAGTCCCAGCTACTTGGGAGACTGAGGCAGGAGGGTCGCTTGAGCCCAGGAGTTTGAGGTTCCTGTGAGCTAGGCTGATGCCACAGCACTCTAGCCTGGGCAACAGAGACCCTGTCTCAAAAAAAAAAAAAAAAAAAAAAGAAAAGAAGCCATGGCCTTGGGCTTGCACAGAGGAATCACAGTGGCAATTCCACTAAAGTTTCATTCTACTTTACACATTCCTATTTGGTTGATTTCAAAAAAGATACCAAACCTTCATACTTCTATAATCAGAAAAAAATTATGCATATATTTCCATTCTGGAAAAAAAACGACTTTGGTTTTTTCCAAAGTAATAGGATATACAAAGTAATAGGATATGTGACTTTTCAGGATCACCTGTGTTCTAAGAAATGGACCAATAATTTGGTGTTTATAACGCCTCAATAATCTCACCACCTAGCCATGTCCTCTCAAATATCTTGTTTCTCCACACTAAGTTCAAACACTCTTAAAACTTCACACTAGTCCTTTAGTCCTACCATGGCCACAAAAGTTTGCGCTCCTCTTATTTCATTTACCTTATCATTCATATGGCCAGATTTTTAAAGTTTCTCTCACCGCCTAAGGGGTCCCTTCATCTTCACCCCGACAAAGCCGCTTCCTGACTGATACCAGTCTTTCGACACAAACGTGCTCTGTAGCCAGGGTACCGCAGCCTGGTGGCGTATACGGCACTTAGATGCACTAACTGTTCATTATGTAGCAGGGGCCTTTATTGAAGCTGCAACTATTCTTACTAACTGCAACCTCTCATCTTCTGCATCACTCAACTACCGGAATTCAAATAAAATATTAAGAGAAAATTTAAAAAGAGTGAAAAGCAGTGTCACTGACTCTAACTTAGAAGTGCATGCCCCTCTCAGCCCCTTTGCTGACTTTGCATTTTGCTTGGAGTTAACCCTCAAAAGGTTTTAACAGCCACAGAACTGACATCTTCTAACGATTTCCTGACTTTTGGATTCTAATAGCGTCTCAAGGGGTGGAGCTGGCTAAATCCACACGCTCCAAGATAAAGTGGCAAGAAACCAAAGGGAATGACTCCTTGACATTCCAGTAAACATCCTCGTGCTGGCACTTCTCACGACTGCCATGGTTGACTTTCACAAAAATAAAACATGGCGGAAAACGAGCAGCTCAGTGAGGTTTGTTCTGCTCTGTTCCCCATTCTGAACGGGGTGAATCCTGTTCAAGGGGTGGGTGGAGCCTAAAAATTAAAACCCTGCAAGTGCCAAAGTCACATTCCTCCCCTCTCTGCCACCACCCAGAGCGCTCCTGATGACAGAGCTAACACTTACCGTACAGGGCACCACCTTAAGTACTGTATATGCGTCAACTCGCTTACCCTGCACAAAAACCCTTTGAGTTCATCACTAACCCCCTTTTACTGATTAAGAAGGCCGAGTACAGAAGTCCAGTAGCTAGAAGGTGGCAGAGCTGTGCAGTCTGGCTCTAAGTCTCCTCTCCTGTCTTCCCCAACACAGAAGCCTTGTTGTGAGTTTATTCGAGAGCCTAGAATCAGAACGTTAGGACGTGGTGCCATGTGTGAAATGTCAGAATGAAGACCAGCAAATTCCTGCAGGAACGCCGAACTGCAGGTTCACACACCTCTCCCCGGTCAATCGGCGGTGATGAGCTTAGGAGAGGCCAGGTGTTGAAAACACTCCACCTGGGAAGGACAGCGAGGAACTGACTGTCACGCTGGCCCAGGTGTGCCTGTTGTTCGCCTACTTTATTCACCGGCACTTAGTTACCTCAATTTCTCCTTCCACTTAGTCATCTCCTTCGTCTCCACCATTTCCTCTTCCCGACCACCACGGGCAGCAGCATAAATAGCACACGTGTGAAGAGTTTCACAGCACCTCTGTGAAGAAATGCTCAAGCTCTTTCCGTTTTAATTTTGCTTTTTTTTTGCCTTTTGTAGCAAACATGGATTTGCGGCACTAAAGTTAACTAGCCAATCATGAAGGAAAGACACTGGCCTCGGAGAATATTTGGGGGACCAACCTGAGAACTATCTGTGGTCCGGCTGTTGACTATGGGGGCCATCTGAGACTGTAGATTCACTCTGCCCCCAGCGTGTTAACCCCACCCCAAGCTTTAAGATGGAAATTCAAGCATAGCAGTGCTCACAGGACAACCAGCAGGAATTCCAGCCTGCACTCCCAGCTCCGCCTCTCAAAGAGGTCTGAGATTCCGGGCTGCCTTGGTCTCAGTTTCCACATCTGCAAGATGAAGGCCAGTTCAGCCTGAGAAGCTCCGTGATTCGTGCACTATGCAATATAATCTAGTGTGGCGTTAAGAAGTGGAGCCAGGGTAGGAGAAACAAACGAGGAAATTAACTAATCAGGGTTTTTCCCACTTTCACTCCTGGACAGGACAAATAATCATTGCTGATTCAAACTTGCATGGCTTTCCCCTAACACATTAAGCACAACAAACTTCCACTTATTCAAGATCCAATAAAGGAAAAGCTCTGCTAACTTGGTTTTCTTCTAGCACAGCACCTTTTAAGAGTGCAAAACAGCCCACACCTGCTATTTATTCCAAAAACCAATTTCTGAAGGGTCATAGGATCAGTTAAGTTTTCCACGATCCCGTCGATTTGGCCTGATTCTCGCACCTTCCACAGGTGCTGCTCTACAATTGCGGTTTTAATTCTACATTTTAAAAAATTATCTCCATTTTTTAATTACTGAGACATTTCGGTAAGTTCTGTAAATATATACCGTTCTTAAGAAACTTGAAATCACCATACACATGGGTTTACCTAGAAAATTCCACTCATGTCAAATCTATGCCCATATATACCTTGCACTTATTTATTCGCATAGTAA